CTTGAATATACAGAGAGTGTTCGTAAACTTCATTCAATCACACCCCAATTACATGAGGTAATAAAGAACTGATATCTTAGACACTCTACGGAACCTATAAGAGGTCGTCAATCCTCTGACGTGTGCTGTATTCAGTACAGGCAGAGGTAGGTCAACGCCTGTACAAGAACGAAACGACACACACAGTATATGAGAACTTTCATATTTGCATGACATCCCTATCACTTTCTAATGGGAGCGTTTTTACTCACGGAGGAGGAGAGCAATTTTACTCCTTGGTGATGGAGTAAATTCGCTCCTTTCCCAGAGTGAAAGTGGGGTGAAACTGGAGTTAGCTATTTTACTCTCTTTTTTGGGAAAAATCGCTCCCCTTTTTCTAAGAGTGTACCGACATATTTCGACCCGCATTTCGATGGGTAAGGTTCTGCAACAGCATTGTGTCGAAAGAACGTGCAATCATACCTCAGATATCGAATTTAACGTTTAATCGAAGTCGAATTTAATTCCCGGTGAAACTTTCCGTGATAATGCCGTCGACCAGTCGTCGTTGATGCAAGAGCAGCTTGACCTGACCATTATAGAGCAGTCTGACCTTTCCCCATGACCGTTCCAGACATCTCTCCCGCCGCGTTTCGCTTTTGGACATCGAAATAGCCTCATCGAAGAAACGAAGCGTGTGATGATTACGAATGAAATCCCAATGTCGGAAATCTCGAAGCATATCACCGCCACTTCGGAAAATTATCAGCTTTCACATGATTTTTTTTTCTTTTCGTGAGAAGTCCGAGAAATTGGTCAGGAGATCGCTTGAAAAGAAATATCAACGGATCGCGTGAACTCCGCTCAATTTTTATGACCGCGATTGTGTCCCAGATATATCTTTAGATATTGTGATCATTTTTTCTCCAGCAAGGACAATGCACAACGACTGGGAAGCAGAGATTGCGAATCTGAAACGGTGCACCTGCAGGGAAAACGGTAGTGTGCACAACCTAGATGCATGTTCTTTCTCGATGACCAAAATGGACTCACGTTGTTTATTTCGCGTGCTCGCATGCTCTCAAGAAAGTGGCGAAAAACCGTAGAAATGACAGAAATTCTCGTGATAGTGGAGGCAAAATGACTTGATCTATAGTCCGAAAGATCGCTGAATGAAAATGTCTACAGTAATGCCAAGAAATGAGACGTGCACAAAAAGAAAGACAAACGCAACTTAAAAGCTGAAAAAGTAAATGTATAGATGGGATATTACAAGTTGCAGCACTGCCAGATATTACGTCGCACAAGTCTAGCTCGCAACACTGTCTGCTGTCTTTGTCGACAGTGTCAGTCGGCTACGAAGGCTGGAAGGGGGGGTGTCAAGTCTCGTTTCAGACGACCTGAGGATGTGTTTTGCACAAATCTATCTGCATGTCAAATATCACGATGATCATTCCAATTGATTTATGGATTAACTTTCGAGAAAAAAAAAATTATGAGGCAAATAATAAGAGATTCAGATAGACAAAACGGGACTATAAGTGGTCTTCCCTTGCAGGAAAGGAAGGTCAAACGAGAAAAACCAGACAAGAGGCGACTCTAACTTTCTTGCAGGATTACAATAAGTTTCATGTCTGTCTATTTGCAGCGGAATATTACACAGGATTCGACTCCAACGGCAAGTTCACACACTTGGGGCACGCCCATCACGTTGCGGTGGCTACAGCCCTCGCCGCGAGTGGGATCGTGGACCTGGGCGTGAGATACAAATTGGTCGCTCCGGAGCGGGTCTCGTACCTCTTCGCCGTGTTCCTCTTCCTCATAGACGGTTGGCTTATGACGGTCCACAACGACAGCAGTTTGAACGAGGGAGAGCTTTCCAGTACAGTGAGTGAATTAATCGAAAAAGAATCCACCCCATCGAGCAAATATGTTATTGTCCCCCATGAGCCAAATTTCTTAAAATCCATCATGGAATATGAGAAAATTTTGATTCAAAGTTGGACCAAAATTGCATAATTACTTCTATGTATTGTGCGACTGAGAATTTAGCTAGCCAGCCAGGAATAGGTCTTAAACTGAGGCTATGGTGTGAAAACGTCAACGTCTCTGGTCTCCTCGGACATGTCCACGGTGAGACTTCAATAATTTTTGGACGAACTCAGCTTTTTTCCCAGACTTTTTCTCACTATGGTAGACTAATAGGGATGAACTTCAGTTTATGCTACGTTAGCGAGACAACGTTCAAAATATTGTCTTTAAGATACAAATCCAGAAAAAAAATCTGAGCGGAAGAGGCAGCGGAATCAACGAACTCTTCCATTTTTCTCGACCTCCCTTTCGAAATTCCAGTATTGTATGACATAATGAATCAAAAGAGACAAAGACAGCTTTTCAATGATACGAAATTCGTGATGATCCCAACACAGACTTCGAGCAATGAACGAGAGTGAGAGAGAGAGAGAGAGGGGGGGGAAGAAAGAGATAGAGGAAGAAAGAGAAAGAAGAGAGGGTTATATCTTATCGAGAATCTTTAGAGAGTGTTCCGTATTTTTTTGGAATGCTTTCTTGATCAAATGAAGAACCATTATAGCTGAACTCCCTCATGAGGGAAGAAAGCGAATCTGACAACGTTTTCTGGTTTCTCCAGATGCACCGATCAAGCGCGCTGGACGTGATGATGCTGGTAACATCCCTGGTATTAGAGATGTTTCACCGTCGGAGCGTGGGGATCGCCCTCCTCCGACCCATTGTCGGCCTGCACGAGGCCATTCTCTTCATTACTATGAGCTTCGTCCTCTTCCAACCCTGCTGCCCTTGGGATGACAGACACATCCCATTCTTTTTAGCCCTATACGTCGGCTACTACATGTTGGTGTGCTCCTTCGTCTTGATCTTGGTCATGACGCTGTATCGGCACTCTGGGGATTCCAAAACTAGCTTCGCCGTGAGCTCTTCATATCCAATTTGAATCGGAGGTATGTCATTTTCAGGTGAAAGGACTTCAGCTCGAAAGGTTTTGCTTCGTTTTTTAGAGGGTGAGATGCGAGTGATTCTCCGCACGTGAATTCCTGCCATTTAGCAAGACAAGTAGGTGCCGACGGAATACTTCTCGTACCCAGCAGACACGAAGGAAAATCTCTGATGTATGAGATCCACAATAATCCCCGTCTTGAATTTTTTTTCTTGTGGTCTAAGGATGCCTATTTATTTCCCGGGACCTTCCATTTCATTGATCCCTCACGAATTCAAAGTACCATGACATATTTCAAACCACAGTCGGCGTTTCGTGAGCAGCACAGCAATATTGCAGTTCAGTTCATGTCGTTCCGCTCAAGATGGAAAAATTCGTTCCGCGTATTTCTCCACTGCAATGTGAGGTGGAACAAACTTTTCACCCTTTTATTCTCAGTACGCGAAAGAAGAGTTTGCACGAGCCCTCTCATAATTATATTTACAAAGCAACGTGAAAACCTTATTTCAAAGACTTTCCTTTTCTTCAACTCCAGTTCCACACTCTTCATTATAAGACCCACTAATGTAAGGCCTAGGTCTAACCGACGGGCTGCCTTCAGGTCAGGACTAGGCCTGCCTTTCTTCGTTCAAAAGAAACTCCACCCTCCACTTACGCCTATAAGGAATAATTTCCGGTCTTCGAGACGTCTCGTCGTAATGTTAGACAGATTGGAGGCCTGCTTCGAGTCTCATGAACCATTTCACTGCAGACGTGGAACGTTAGGCTTATCTAGAGTTCCTCGAATCGTCTCGACTAGTTCTGAGGAGTGAATTCCTCTAGGAAGCATGAAATACAAGCTGGGCGCCATCCTGGTAATTTAGAGATGTCCGAATGAGATATCTCCACTTTCCACCAAGTCGATCGGCCACTGCTAACCCCCCTAATCTCAGCGCATCTCAATGACTCAGCACAAAAATGTCTCATAGATTAAAAGATAGAAGATCCAGACACCGATACTAAGGCCGAAGAAGTCATGAATCGGACATAACTCCGGCACGACATCCGGCAACACTGGAGGACGGGACAGGAGCCATCACGCTAAGCCTAAATGAACGATACCACCTACAAGTCCATATCTTTTTTGTCTGGTTTCTTTCCTCCGAAAACTTCCCAGGGCTGGCTATCCAAGGGGAAGGAAAGAAGTTCCGGAATGAAATTCACATTAAAAACTGACTCAGTGTTCTCCATAGTCCCGGGGGGATGGAGCTTAAAATATGTTGGAGCGATTCTGTGTTGAGAGAGGAAGAAGCATGCCAAACGTCGTTCCTGTTGATGCTCTCATAGAAGAATATGGGACGGTTGAGTTTAATTACGGATGGGGTTGAAGAATGGTAATAGGTATTGATATCGATACAAGGTATTTAACTATACAACTGTGCAGTAAATCAGAAGAAACAATCTGGGACGAATTCGACTCTTGCTCGTGAGAGGGAAACAGGAAGATCGCTGAAAACCCTTCCCTTTGTGCACAATAAAAGTTTTGAAACATCAGCCCAGATCGATCGCATCCATGATTGCCTCTACTTTGAAAAATGTCTGTGTTTTCCTACACATCTTTACGAGTTTTAACCATGTTTCATCAATAAAATCCTTCGAGGTGAGAGTTTCGGGCCGTTAGTCGAGCTATGAGCAGCTATGAGTAACTGCCATTGAAATTGGAGGCCGAAGCAAGTTTTCCCGTGAATATTATTCCCACACCCTTAAAACTCTCACCGATTTATGTACACTATAACGAGCTTGTGTACCAAATTTTACATTTTCACACATTTTCACTTTGGTCTTCCCATTTTTTTTTCGGCAAGGAGTATAGTATTCATTATGGCTGTATCGATGTATCGGCCGCCAGTATAGCACCTTCGGCGCCGTCGGCCATCGGCAAGTTTGCAAACTGATGGTGCCGATGTCCAAAAAAGGACGTGCAGAACGAAGAAAAATACGGGGGTTAGTCAGTAAGTTACAAATTACCACGCACAAAAGAGGAACACATATTAAAATGTGGAAGTAACATTTATCTCTCGACATTATCTCCCTGTACATCGAAGCACTTGTTCCATCTTTTTACTGCGTAAAAAGACTCGGGTTGATGTCGTACCCATCGACGTACCTCACTTTCCAACCGCTGCATCATCCAGAAAGCATCTCCACGAAGTGCATTTTTCGGCGGGCCAAACAGATGAAAATCACTTGGGACCAGCTCGGGGCTATAGGGAGCTCTTCGAACGGGTTTCAGTTCCCTGGGAACCCATCGCGCAGACACTTTTCTGAACTGCAGGCGGGCATGAATACCAGTTGTACCCAGTCTGACGGGATAAACAGTTATCACTATGCACTGGAAGGAATTTCTCTTGAATATCATTGGCGGCATGTCCTTTGGCCCAAGGGAATCGGACAACAGCACGCTGTTCCTCAATCGTACACACATCGAGCACAGTAGTAATCTTTTTTTGCTGCCCCAGTAACTATAAATTGACACGTTCGACAAAGCAGCCGAATTATACCTTCCTAGATTGTGCTGCCATCGAGTGAGTAACAAAAAAAGGAAATGTAAAGTCTAGTTCCGTACCTCTGTTAATTTGTAGCTTACTTACTGACTAACCCTCGTAATAAAAAAAAACTCATGAACGGTACTTGTTAGCTGATTCTCAACGGGAATAGGAAAAAATCAGGACTGACCCGATGCACCCGCGAATGTCATTTTCGATGGTTGGCATCCTCTGTAGCCCTTCTCCGAAGCTTCGCACCTCCCGCCCGCACTCCCCGATCAGCGGAAGACGGATGGAGGTTCGCGCCGCTACCGAGGCAAGAAGGTAGCGCGAACCTCCGCCCGATCGCCTCGAGAAAAGACGGAATCTATTCGGGACAATTCGAACGTTGAAAAAATTTATTAAAAACGTTCTTCGCTGTTTCTCTGCACATCACAACAGGCGCCGGTACCAGCCGATAGGTATGAGACGATGATCGACCAAATTTTAGTTCTCATTATTGAGAAAATCTTGGGGATCGAGAAAAAAATGCACCAAAAACCTATATTTTACATCTCACATTAAAAGGAGTGCAGTTTTTGTAAGGCGAAAAAGAAAATGTTTCCCATGTTTTTTTCCTGACGTTATATGCAACACAATCTATTGAATCCCGTCATCATTCGACTCGGGCATGCAAACTGCGTGTGGGGAGCGTGGAATGGACTTAAAAATCTAATAGTCAAGGCTTGGGCGATGATTTATTTTGTTTCGACCCTTTGAGGTTGAGTAAATTTGCTTCCTGCGTTGAAAGAATATCGGGAAAATCTACAACATACTGAACCGCATTATTTCGCTAATATTCTATTGAAAGGAGTTTAAAATTCAACAACAAAAATTACGTGACTGCCTATTAAAAGTCATTTGAAGGACGAGGATGACGCTTGCAGTCAATCCGTGATCAACAATCCGATTAATTTTAAAGCTGTACGTCATGCTGATTTGGCCTCTTTTACAATATCCTCGTTCCACCCGGATAAACCCCCTAACCCCGCATGTAACCCGACACTTAGACACGGGTTAAACCGGCCCAAACCAACCCCCAACCCTTAAAACCCCGGTACCCCACGTCTCACCCGAGTGACCCCGGCGACTCTCGTCGTGCGAATGAATGCATCTCGGAGTGAACCCGGAAAAGAGGAGGGACAGCGCGCATGCGCACAACGCGACGTATGAACATCGCAGCCTCCGTCCTCCAGAAGGATCTCGGTCTCCTTGTCAATATTCTAATAGTACGAATTCAGGGAAGAAAAGGCGACAGTGCAACGTCGGTGAGATTGAGGCGCAAACCCTCGTAGGTATAACAGCCTCATGTGAGGCCCTCATGAGGCCCTCACGCCCAAAAGGGAGGGGAGTAATGAGCCTTTTATGAAAAGGTTTTCCCAAGATGAAATGGGCTACATTTCAACTTTGTTAATATGTGAGCTTTCTTGTCCCTGAGAATGAATTTGACTTCCATGCTGTCCTCACTCATTAAAGTCAGTGCATGATGAATATCTCCCTTATTCTAGCTCAGTCTGTTTTGTTGTCCTAAATCTTTTCTATCCAGTGGAATGCAAGTGCATAACTCATAATTTATGCCGGTATGCTTCAAGATTGCTTTTTTTGCCACAGATCAGACACTAGATGCGTGGACTTGAAATTTAATTCAAAGGCTAAGTAATATCGTCGATGGCTGCCATGGGAATCGTTTGCATGAGAAAGCTTTTGAGTCATCTGGGAAAATTCCATTCGTGTGACCCAAGTCTTGAAGTTGGCAGGAAACCGCACCAAGCGGTTCGATGAAGCACCATCAGATGAAAGGCACCTTAATCGTCATCATTCTAATCATTTTGGTCCATCAAAACCCATTCATTCAGGTCCAGTGAGTAGCCACGATCATGAAGACCATGCTCTTGAAGACCATGCTCTTGACTCCACGGACGTAGAGCACTTGGCACCATCGAGTTTGGATCAGGAAAGGACCATTGATGGTTCCATTGATGCCCACTCTCCCAGTGATCACAAATCATCCGATCATCCTTTGTAGGTACGGTCATTGAAGAAGAAAGTGTGGAATTCAGAGTAGCATCATTGGCATGACAACTTTGAAGAAAAGGTGAAGGTGCAGAAAATTCCATCTTTTACTGTTGCATTTATGATGGGAGAAGTAAAGTCCATTGCGGAAACTTCTTCAGAAAGCAGACAGATGAAGTTACCTGTGCTACTTGTTTTTTTTTGTTTTTTTTTTGGCTTGATAAGCATGTAAAACAGAAATTCATGTTAGTGCCTCCTGAGGAAATGCTGTATGATCATGGTTCCTCAAACCTATCAGTTTCTGTAATAATGTATGTTTCTGTAATAAAAACTCTTGGTACTTTGCTGCAGTGTAGCGGTGTAATTGAGGAAGGGCTTTGTGGGCACCAGAATTCAGATGAATTCATGCAGGGCTTCGTTGATGGCATTGGTGAGGTCAGGGGAGTAATTTTTTTATGCAGTGGCCTTCAATGCAACTAGCAGAACTGCATTGGTTGATGTCACTTGGGAATCCATTTCGATCTGAACGCCTGAAAATAACCACTGTGTACATGACTCTAGGAAACTTTGAGGCCAAAATGCAGATTTAGCTGGTTGCTCGAAGGAAAACCATGGTTTTCCTTGGTGGGGTTTTGGAGACGTTCTGGTTTCCGTCGCTTCATCGAGTGATGACTTCGGAGTCTCTTGGCTTGCTTGTATCCATTCAATGGCATGATCACCACTTTTATGGTTTCATTATCAAGGTTGTAACTGACAACCTGGCCAGTCATTCTTTGGAAGAGCTTGTTGATTCATTCACATCCCGCACTTGCCGCTTTTGCCTGATTCACACGAAAGATACGCCAGATGGGAAGAGGTGTGTGCCAAACTAAATCTCACAGAGCCACGTAGAGCATGTTAAATTCGTTCATGAAGGGCCTGAGCTCTCCTCAGGGTATGGAGTCAGGTCATTTTGCTTACTTGATGAAATTACTCATTTCTCGTATATGTGTTCTTCACCTTCAGATGTAATCTATGAACTTCTTGAGAGAGTTGATGTCGACCTAGTGGCAATGGCAGATAGCAGCAAAACGACTTAGTCATCATTCAAGGAAGTGTCCAAGATATCCAAAAGCGGAAGAGATGTCGGGAATGGCCTTGCGTGAAGATCAGGCTGCTCTAAAATGGTCATATGTCAAGGTCAGACTGCTCTATAACGGTCAGGAGTGAAGGTCAAGCTGCTATTGGATCGTCAACAGCACGAGCACGTGAACTTCCACAGGGAAATAAATTCGACTTCGATTAGACGCGAAATTCGAAATCTGAGATATGATTGCATGTTCTTTCGACACGATCTCGTTCGCAGAACCTTGCCCATCGAAGTGCGGGTCGAAAGATGTCGGTATGCAGTTCCATCTGCGATCTGGCCGCGGCTGAATCCATCACTTCGACGTCGTGAATTCTGGTTTCCCCGATTCTCACATGCCAGAAGGGAAAAGGAGTCAATCACGAAGGTCTAGACAATGTGGAAGGTTCTGCCACTTTCACGACTCGACAGGGTCGAAAACCCATCGTTTCCAGTCTGTCGTTTCGATTGCCATCAAGCAGAATTTCTTGTAATTCGAGATGATCTGTGGGCTTCTCTCGGATCGTAGGCCTGATATTTGACTGAAGCGTAAGGCAGGAATGCACAAACCTCATTTAGGCGAGATGAAGAGGCCTTAGCTAATGAACTCTTCCCCCACCCCCATCTACAGTATTCTATAAGGGCCGTTAACTAAAGGAGGTTTCAGAATTGGGGCCTAAGTCTCGATCGAATGGAGTCTACTCTTAGCACTTTCCTCGTGCAGTTGCATGCCAAAGACCATCTGACTTTTTCTAAATGCTGGCATAGAATAATCAATTGGGGGTAGCAGATTCTCGATATCGAAGGGACGGATTTAGCCCCGACCAGATTTTACTGAGGTAGTTCACTTTAAAGACTCTCGTAAATTCTGGTCCATTCCTTCCGTGAGAGCGTGAAAGCGCAACTCGCAACGGCAGGCGGGAAGAACCTATGCAGTGTTTCTCGCTGCTGCTGATAGGTACATCCAGAAATATGACTGGTCCATTGCACTCGCGTGCGCTTCTACTACGACGCGGGTTATTCAATGTCTGACGGCAGAATGTGTGAAGGTAGGGTGAATTCACTGCAGGAATTTGAAGAAGCGGAAGTGCCTCCAGGCGAAATCCCAGTCACGTAGTCATTCTCAGCGCGCGTCAGATGAGCTTCAGGGTAAGTCTGGCTTTGGTTAATCCTGTGTGTCTCCAGCCCTCGCCGCGAGCGGGCGAGGGGACCTGTACGTGAGATACAAAACAAGTTTTCCATAATGCGTCTCATGCTTTTTTTTCATCTTCATCTTCTTCGATGAGACAGCAGCTTGAACGAGGGAATCTATGAATGTCGCACTTAAAAACTGTCAAGCATGTCATAGCGGTACCCGTCTTTTTCCGCCAATCGGGGACAACTCAACGTCGCTATTTTTTACTCTCTCTCTGTCTCTCTCTCTCTTTGATCGGTTCACGACTACCGCAAGGTCTCCTACTGTGCCTTGAGTTTAGCAGAAACCTTGAGAATTAGGCCATGTCTTCTCTCCGTATCTTCAGTTCCCAAGGAGCTGGTCATGAAACTTTAAATTTTACATTCTCATCATGAATCCACGCAAATGAATAGAAACCCGTTTGTCCACAGACATTTATCTCCCTGTTGGCCATGTTGGCGTGAATGAAGTTTCAGGCTCAATCTAGTTTGTTTCAAGATAGGCGAGGCAGAGCCGCATCAACAATTTGGCCCTGGGTAAACCACGTTCTGGGCCCACCTCATCCCAACCCCCATGTGGGGCTGGGGGGTCCAATTAGAAGCAGAAGGGGAGGGGAGGGAGATTGGGTATTAGAAACGAAGTTTCAAGAGTCTCAAGACTGGAGAGAAATCTGAAACCCCTAACTCCCCCTCTCCCCTTTCCGATGTGCCGGCCGTTTTTATCCATAACTTTTTAAGCTGTCCATTCTTCGCGTACTGATGAGTAATTCCATTTTTTCCCAACTCCCTTTCTGCCCTGTTCACGTGTGCGTGAATTCAGCGCTGAGATGAGGTACATTAGACTTCCTTGGTTGCTTTTAACAATCCTAGCAGATCGGATTTAGATTAAGTCCAGCAGAGGTGAGGGACTTGTGACCGCGGCTCCTTCGCCTTCACCCCGCCTTGTTTACGCGGTTGTTCCTGCTCCATCCTTGAGATGACCTTTCGAGCGTTCCCCGGAGTGGAAGATGACGCCACCGTTTCTCTGACATCCTGCGGGGAAGGACGCGGGGCTCGGACGGGCGGAGCGTCAGTCGAGCGGGGAAACAAGGACGTAGAGGTTGGAGGCATCGGGTGTCCGGCCATGATGGGATTCGCGGATCGGGTGTGGAAAGCCCAAATCGTCTACGCGCATTTGGTCGCCGGGTGGCTCTGGTGCATCGTGGGTCTCTGGTGGTTGACGAAAATTTTGCAGCGGTGGAAGAAGACCGGCCCGGATGGATTTCAAGCCTCCCCCTTCTACTGCGCCTGGAAGCGTGATATTCCCGTCGAACCCATCTTCAAGATCTTCGTCGGTATAGTCTATGCCAGCGGTGAGAATCTTACACTCTGGTTTTTCTCGAACTCGGACGAGAAACTAATTGTATTTCACTTTTAAATCGATAAAGGGTAATTCCACCCCAAGGTCAACCATGAGGCCAAAATGAAAACTGAGTAAATACTGCATTCTATGAGCAAACACTGAAACATAGATATCAGCAGCATGAGATAGAACGATCTGAGTGTTAAAATAGTAACTCCCCTGAATATGCCGAAGGTCTTAAGTGTCATCCCCTGGTTATGCTTATTTCGTTCAAATATTTTGCTTTTTCAGAGCCAGTTTTTTCGTATTACAACCGAACTACCTGAAATAACATAATGTAATCATGAGCAATATCATTTTCAGATATAATTAGGCAGAGTCGCAGGCTTCTTTGGCTAATGTATCTGAATATGCCAGGCCTAAGGAAGAATAACGGTAATGTTAGTCACACAAAATGAATAACTTTCCATTTACCTCTTCACCAAACATTTTCTCTTACCCAGGTCCTACTCTTTCTCATGGATATTTCGCCTTCTTGATAGGACGCTGTCTACGCTCGAAAAGGGCGTGATTAACATAACATTTTATTTTGTGACTAACATAACATGATAATATGACTAACAACCAGTCAATAAACTTCTCTAGGTCTCTAAGGCCCATCATCATGTAAAGGTTCCAAACAGCATGTTTATGTTAATTTTACGTAAAATGAATGTAAATTTTCTGTTCATTTTATATCATTTTCACGCAAACCATTGTCAAGAAAATGTCAACATGTTTGCAGAAATGTCACCTCTGTGACAGTGATATAAAATTGACGTAAATTTTACGTAAAATTGACATTTCCGTTTGCGTTAAAAAAAAGCATGCTTAGATTCATCTTATGTAAGATTTATTTTAATTTCCCCCTAGCATTCATGTGTATTTAACGAGCCTGTGGGTATCTTCGAAGAGAATTGATACACTGTACCTACCATTCCTTTCCGTACTTCAGAACTCTAGGATGGTTGGTCGAGTACACGAATACTCATTCTCACCAGCACTCAAGAGTACCTAAATGACCTACCTCTTCCTCCTCCCGTGCTGGAACCTCAGGAGAAAGAGTAGATGTTTAGAGGAGGTCTTTTCCATTTCGGATAGAGATGAATTAGTACTGGTGGGGGGTGGGATTCTACTCTTACCTTAATCCCGCGCACTGCTGTAGTAAAAAGATGAACTTCAGCATTTAATGATTCCCTGAGTCATATATTATAAATATATATGTAATAATTTCATGTTTTCCATATATATATTCAGGGATTGCATAATAAAAAGTAGAAGGATGGTAAGAAAATCTGATACTATATCAGGAAAGCCAGTACTTAATAGTGTTTGTAGGATGCAGGGAACGAGGGTTCTATCTAGTGGGGAATCGTAGTACTGCAACTGCAGGATGGTCAGCTAAAGTTTTATATGGATGGTGTGGTGTTAATTTTGCATGAACTTGATATCATGTACTTCACCTCAGATGGAGTGACGCCTAGTTGATGTAAAATACACGTACACTTTGGTGCCGTAAATATAGGAACGTAAATTTTACGTAAACGTGATGTCATTTTCATGGCAATCGCAAGAAATTTATATTCTTTGCAAAAAAATTGATATCTTGTTTACGTAAAGATGCTGCTTGGGGTATTGTGGCAAAGTATCTCCAATCTATCTATGTAAGTCAATGTAAATCATAGTTAAGAAAGCAGCTGGAGGGAAGGAGAAATTAATTTTGCAATGGAATACGAAAGTGGAACATCGCATCCACTGACGCCACGGATGCGATTAGGTAGATCTGGACCAGTAATACGAAAATTCCTTCCGAGCTCGACTCAATCCACGCAGGAGGACAAAGAAGCGGAAGTCCAAAACCGTGCGGTGGGAAAAAATACCAATCGCGCCATCTGGGAGTTCATCGAAAAAAAACAACGTTCCAATAATCGCAGGGAGATGTCGCCTGAACCACGGCAATAAGAGCCATCCCGTGCCCCGTGATGAGCTAATGAGAAGCCGAAGGGGCCAGAGATCTTTCAGCGTGTTTCAAGCAAGTCTGAAAAATACATGCAATTGCATCTTTTTTTGTAGCAGATAATTTTTTTCAGTTCGCTGGAAAATTTTACCGGTTAAAGTGTTTGTGAAAATGTGTGGAATTTTTGTGGAAAACATTTTGAACGAATCCTGTAACGTTCCTATGATACTTGACATTAGGGTTTAAAATGAATCATATAATGCCTATGATATATGAAATATGTACCTATATATATATGGCATTCTTGACTCGAATCCGGTCCAGAAAAGTGTTAGAGAACATTTTCCATCTTTTGGGAAATGCATCTTGATTTTCCGCTGTATTTTAGAGCAGATGATTCACTCATCGCCAAGAAAAAGCACCAGCCAGGAGATGAATGATCTTAATGAAATTTCAAGGGGAACGAGTTTCAAGAACGCGAAATAAAAATTCACGCCTGCCGGACAATCCAGTTTAAGTAGCGGTGAGGTGGTCGTTCTATTCGCTTTAAATGGCCACCCAGAAGGAGTTAATGAAACGTCGAATAGGAACGATTAAAGATGCGCGGAAAAACCGAGAAAATTGTCAAGGTCGCTGCAAGAAGCAATGCAAAAAAAAAACAACGAATAACCTTGGAATGAAAGAAGCGGGCAGAAACAGTTCCCTTTCTTTTAAAAGTCGCATTTCTGATCTATTTTCGCTTGTTCGTTCCTTCCACTAAAGTCTGTCAGCTATAAATTTCTCTGCGCTAGTCAATTTCTCTGTCTAGGTTATTGCAATGACTGTCTTCTCCCATGCGATGCTTTTTCAGTAACGGATCTTATTGTTTAATAATCGGGATATCACGGTGGTATTCGATTCATCGGTATACTGATTAGGTGACTCACTCGTATTTTTCGCCACTAGACCTAATCTGCAACCAAAGGGATAATCTTAGAGATGATCGGATAAATCTGGGAAAAGATAAGATCCAAGGGACAACCCCCAACTTCAAGCTCCCAAAAATACAAGCTCCATGTCACTTTTTGCAGTGGAGTATCACACGGCATTCGAGAACGGCGTCCTCGTCTCCCCGAAGCACTACCATCACGTGGCGGCGTTCTTGATCGTGGCCGTGAGCGGGTTCGCGGACCTGGCCGTGAGTCGCAAGATCGTCTACCCAGAGTCCATCTCGAACTTCTTCATGGCGTGCTTCCTAGTCTCCTACTGGTGGATCATGGAGAAGCATAACGACAACAGCATGAGCGAGGGGGTGTTCGCCGTGGCCGTGAGTAGCTCCTATGAAGAATACATCGATCGCACGGAAAATTTACGGCCTGTAGACTGTTATGGGGCGATTGACTTTATGAAGCGAATCTAGACTTTTTGAATTTATCTTTTCTCTTTTGCAAACAGCACTTTTTTTCGACGATGGCAAAACTGAATCTCATAATCTTACCTACAGTATTTCATGGAAATGAAAAATCATTGCAACTCCCTCCTCAAACCGAAACGAGAAGCTAAAAGATTCCCTCGGTTACTTCAGATGCACATCGGAACGGGAGAGGATCTGCTGCTGATGGCAATGACCATCATCGTGGAGGTGCTGCACCCTCAGAGCCTGACGATCGCCCTCCTCCGACCCATCATCGCATTACACCAGGCCGCACTGTTTTGGACCATGACATGCACGCTCTACGCGCCCTGCATCAATTGGGATGAAAGGCACATCCCGATCTATTACGGCTGCTATGTCGGATGGTTCGTGGTGGTGACCACTCTCGTCTTGGGCGCTGTGATCTGGGTCAACCGGACTTTGCGCTATGCTCAATGGTAAGGCTTTTTTAATGGGAATTTTATAGGCTGTTCCTTGCAGGAGGAAGGAAATATTCAGTTGGAATTGATTCCCTTTTTTCAATAGCCTCAGTGAGAAAATACATACTTTGCAAGTTAATGCCTGCAGTGCTGCAAAGTCTGACTATGATTATCCAGAAATGAAACTTGCCGGACCTGCTACAACGACAAACGTCTAGTGAATTTATCCACAACATTACAATTCTTTGCTGTTTTTTATGTTTTACCCCATTCTTGTCTGGGTGAGGTTTCGAGAGACCCACTAGAACAACTCCTAACTTCTTTTTCTGTCAAGCTATTATCTGAACTTTTCTCCAATTTGTTTGCAAATACGTGGAACACAATTAAATTCACGACAGTTCTTGAAATAATCAGCAGATGCAGGCGTGCATATACAAAATTCTGCTGGGACCACCGAGACGTCAACTTTTTTTCTTGTCGAGGTTCGACGAAAGGATGAAATTCCTAGACTAGGACTTCTGCCTAGCTTGACACTCGGTCAACTGAAACGTTCAGAATTCAAAATTTGAGGAAAAGAACAAGAAGGCTGATGGAAAGAAAAACAAACAAGAAATTACAAGGCATGAACCCCAAAGTGCCCCTGCAAGTGCCATTAAGGACGTGTGTTATTGAAGGTCCCTGCCTGCTCCTCGATTCCTCCCTATTTGATAGGCTCTCGTCTCGGATGATTTGATGAACGCTCGGGCCAGATCCCGGGACGAATTTGGCACTTAATGGGGTTTCGGCTATGCCAGGCCGTGAAGGACGCAAGAGGACGTGAGGAACGCATGGGACTGCAGAACCTTGGTCTTTGGGAACCCCTTTTCTGGAATAGGCGGTCGCCCATTCGCCTCAACGGCACTGATCTCGTGAAGCCTTGACCCTCTGGCTCTTACCTAGCTCAGTCCCCCCTCACCCCGCCTAATTTCCATCTAGAATAAGAACATGGAGACTTCGGCAAGGGATTAGCGCACATGAGCTAATTCCATGGATGCAAGAATAAAGAATGAACCTTGAATCTGGTCAACCGACTTAACTTCCAATCCCCAACATCCTGAATGACGACAAAATGGCGCTGGCATTGGTACCTCTCTGTCGGAAACATTTTCGCTTCGATGGCGTGCGCGTACATCAGTGCGGTTGGTGCACGCCGAATCCCTCTCGTTGCAATCGAACCGATCCATCTTACGTTCTTTATTTCTATATGAAGGGAGTTTTCAGATGTAGGACCCAGAGCGGCTCATATTGTGTGGGATTCACAAACCGACATGAGCTCTAATTGAGAATTTAAAATGCCCGGTTCGACCGTAGAACAAAACTTGATGGATTCACGAACGAGCATTAACCGCAGCTCAAAAACAAGTTTTTTCTGTATGATGAGATTAATCGCCAAACTTGAAGATATCCATCTCGCCTTTAACGCCTGGCAGACATATGCCAAACTAGAATATTCCCTATTCGCGATATCGTTGGTTTGTGAATACTACCCGCGACGTCCAAAATGCAGTATGGAGTGCCTTGACGTGTTGTATCTTGACCACTTGCACTGATTGGATCGAGCATACCGGATCGGATACCGGATACCGGATCGGATCGAGCATACCGGATTGGATCGACCTATACATTCTACTAGCGAGTTTGTTTGCCCTTCAAGCAACAAACGCGCTATGGTTGCGCCTTCGGGGCGCCATTGTTCAGGTTAGTGATTCATTCATTAACTCATTTTCAAAGGGGCAAAAATGTGTCAAAGTTTGTGCCTGTCAAAATGTGTGCCGAGAAAGAACGAACCAATATTTTCATGGAAATAAATACTCTGATTATTTATTGCTTGCCTAACTTCATATCTCTTCGTAATCTGCCCTGAGTATTTATTTATTATTTGAATAGTGGGATATGCATTCAGCAATGCAATAGGTAATTCTGCACCAAGTTTTAACTTGCTGGTGCAAAAATATCTTTCGAATAGCCGACGCTGTCAATAGGTGTGCCCTGAGGGTATGCACCAAAAAAACCTGAATTCTTTTAAAACTCACCATCACCTCAGCTATTGGTGTACCGAGATTCAGTTTTCCGTTTCTGCCCGATTCGATAGGACAAAAAACAAATAATTTTTAAACATGACCACCACAAAATATGCCGCCAGGCATGCATCTGAAAATTGACATTTTTCTTCAACTCAGAGTTCCAGTAGGCGCATCCATGTCAAGTTTCAGCTTAACATGCTTAACAGTCCGTTTGACTGAAGCAAAAAAAAAAGTAAACATCTCCCCATGAAATTAATGCCCCCCCAGGCCATTTTCCTCCAAAGTCTGAATTTTCTAGAATTCCGGTTCCCAATAGGTACTTAAGTATCAAGTTTCACCTTTGTGAAACTCTCTTCTCCATTCGGGAAGATAAAAAAATTATTGAAGTCACTCCAAGATGACAACACTTGAAAAAGAAGGAAAGGCTATTTTGTGACGGTGTCGGATGTGACCGGAGAGTGTCGGATATGACATGTTCTGAAAAAGTATTTTGAAACGAAAAGCCTGTACATATTGTAGCGCACCCCATGACTTCCCTTTCCCAGTCAGGCGCCAGTGTACGGTCCTCGAAGGGGTTGAAATTAATTGCTGCTTCTCCTCTACACGTGGTCCGTTCATCATTAACAGAGGAGAACGTCAGAGAATCGTGACAGCGACATGTGAGGACAAACCGGCGGCCTTCGCGAAATCTATGGCTTTGCCGCGATTCCGCTGTCGAGAGGGATCAGAGGTCAACCACTTTCCCACAAATCTCCTGAATCCATCTTCGGTAACATCCTTCCGGCCTTCCGACCATTCAGCGTCTGAGTTTACCCTGACGTGGAGAGACATTGAGGACAAAAACTCGGCTTGGAGGGTTGAGAGGAGAGGGGTGAAGGTCGATGAAGGGTTCCGGACTTCGCTGCTGCTGCTATCATCAGGCAACCGGGTTAGGGCCCCCGTTGGCAAATCAGAGCCTTGCTGTTTCTCCTCGGTTGGAGCCGAGGTGCCTAAGCGCTGGTCGTAGCCGGGCTTGGGTGGATCCGGTTGGGGCCAGATTCTGTTCCCTGCTGGTTGGAGTCAGAAGGAACGCATAGAAATAGCAAGGTAGAAATCGGATCGTGGGCGTGCGGACGGTTGGTGTCAGATCAACCCCTTCCGGCTTCGTTGTTTAGCCGTGATTGAACAAATCACGAGACCTCGCGAATGTGCTGCATCGAGGGGGTGAGCGAGTTGTTCTTCGAAGGGTTAAATATTCTTTCATTTTTGTTCATTCACCTTTTAAAGCGAAAGCTATCAATCTTTACGTTGTGCTGAGAAAGATCCTGTACATTCTCATTTTGGGTACTTTGTATGATGTAACCTTGATGATTAGAATAAACGAAATCCTGTGTGAAACCCAGTCTGTTGGAATCATTGTCTAACGGCTACTGATTCCGTCCCACCACTACGCCCTATTGCCCCAAAGGAACAATTTCTAATACCCTTTTTTTTTACAATTATTTTCTTGTTTCGCGACGGTCAAGGTAATTTGCGGGTAGCTATTATAGTTCAGCGACGTACGAGTAATACTACCGACCACGCCAGACGACTGCGAGCGTTACGATATATATTTATTTTATTTTAAAGATATCATCAAAATGTGAACAATTGACATCTATTCTTCACGCCTGAGCTGATTGGGAATTATCAGTATGCATGGGAAACCCATGCTGGCATCTGTTCCAGTAGTCTAATGCGGTCTCTTCAGACTTTTGCATTTTCATAACATTTTTTGCGTATCAAGAGAGCGGTATGAATAATATATCATAATCATGATTAATTCTTTCATTTGCTCTGAAATATTCTCTTTCATTCATGTATTCTGGGAAAAGAGATGATGAACTAACAGTAGCGAAAGTAAAATTTGCATAATTAGGAAAATTTCCGTCTAAAATTCTAGGACCACTTAACGTGACCAGACCCATATCTGCGATATGATTGCATGCTCTTTCGACACGATCACGATCTCGAACCTTGCCCATCGGAGCGCGGGTCGAAATATGTCTGTATGCGGGTCCCTTCTGCGATCTGGCCGCGGCTGAATCCGTCACTTCGACGTCGCGAATTCTGGTTTCCGCGATTCTCACATGGCAGAAGGGAAAAGGTGACGATCTCGAAGGTCTAGACAATGTGGAAGGATCTGCCACTTTCACGACTCGACAGGGTCGACAACCCATCGTTTCCAGTCGGTCGTTTCGATTGCCATCAAACAGAATTTCTCGTAATTCGAGATGATCTGTGCGCTTCTCTCGGATTGTAGGCCTGATATTTGACTGAAGCGTAGGGTACGAATGTACAAACCTCATTTAGGCGAGATAAAGAGGCTCTTAGCTAATGAACTCTCTCTTAGCTAATGAACTCTTCCCCCCCCCCCACCCCCATGTACAGTATTCTATAAGGACCGTTAACTAAAGGAGGTTTCAGAATTGGGGCCTAACTCTTTATCGAATGGAGTCTAATTTACCACATTCTTCGAACAGTTGCATGCCTGAGACCATCTCACTTTTTTCCACATCCCGGTATAGAATAATCAATTGGAGGCAGCAGATTCTCGAAATCGAATCGATGGATTCTGCCCCGACCAGATCATACCCGGGTGGTTCAATTTAAAGACTCTCGTACACTCCTGCGCATTCTCTCCGTGAGAGCGGAACTCGCAGCTGGCAACCGCAGGCGGAAGGAACCGGTGCAGTGTTTCTCGTTGCTGCTGGTAGGCGGTGCGCGCGTTGAGAAAAATGGCGGGTCCGTTACGCTCGCTAGCGCTCCAACTACGACGCGGGTTATTCAATTTCTGGCGGCAGAAAGTGTCAAGGTGGGGTGAATTCACTGCAGAAAGTTGAAAAAGCGGAAGTGTCTCCCTCAGGTGAAATCACAGACAGGTAGCTGTACTCAGATGAGCTTCAAGGTAAGTCTGGCTACGGTTAATTCTGACCGCCTGCAGTCCTCCAGCACGAGCGTGGTCTTGGACCTGGCCCTGAGATGCAAAACAAATCTTCCATAATGCGTCTTATACGTGTTTTTCATGCTTTTCTTCGATGAGACAGCAGCTTGAACGAGGGAAGCAATGAATGTCGCACATCAAACTGCCAAGTATATTATCACGGTACTCGTTTCTTTCCGCCAATCGGGGACAGCCCAACGTCGCTATTTTTTTTTCTCTCTTTTGATCGGTTCACCATTGCCGCAAGATCTCCACTGTGCCTTGAGTTTGGCAGAAACCTTGAGAATAAAGTCGTGTCTTCCGTCTGCATATTCAGTTCTCAAGGAGCTGGTCATGAAATTTTACATATTGCAGCCTCAGCATTTATCCACGTGAACGAAGGGAAACCCGGTCGTCAACAGAGATTTATCTCTCTGGTGGCCTTGGTGCAGTTGGCGCGAATGAAGTTGGTTGGTTAGATTTGCTTAGTTAGATTAGCTTGGATAAATTTTAGTTTCAACTCTGGCGAGGCAGAACCGACCCTAGGTAAACCACGTTCTGGGCCCACCGCTTCCCAACCCTCTGGCGGGGCTGGGGGGGGGGGGGGGGGGGGGGGGGGGGGCCAATTGG